CAATAATAAATGTTTCGAGTTTAATTTAGTCTTTTTGGTGAGTCAGTTTGAGTTGGACTTTTTTTATCTTATACAATTAATTAGATCTGTGTCTTACCTCTAAATAAAAACACGCAGTAGTAACAGTAATAACAATGTGTGAAGTTTGACATGCTCACTATAAAAAAGAAAAAAAAATTGAAATCTAACTCAAATCATATAAACCAAATTAAAACGTTATCGTAAAATAGAATTCAACGAGTTATCTAGTCGAGTTGATATGAGAGCACCATGTTTCGAGGCAAAGTGCGAAACAGGCAAAGGATAACAGTAAGTATCGTCTAGTGGAGATTGGTCTTGCATTATAATACCCGCGACGCCTTCTACGGCCACAACTTCCGTTGGTATATCGAACAAATCGCATGCCACAATTTTACCCTTCACCAATTCTTTATCCACCGTGTTCTCAAAATACAACCTATTTTGAAAGTAAATTACAGCAATTATATTTTCTCTTACTCCAAGAACTGTTTAATTTTTTTTTTTTTTGCGCAACAAATTGATCAATTTGTTTCTCAAAGCATGGAGGGCATAGAATTCGAAGCTCTCACTTTAAAAAAAATTTGAATAAATGTGAATTGAGTTATGCTCACGTTGGTAAAACTATTTAAATCTATTGGGTTAAAATTAGATGATAAAGTATATATTTTGAAAATTAGAGAGTCAAGTGAGCTATTAGTGTAAATTCAGGATAGAAAGGTAACTTTTTCCTATAATATTTTTTAAAACTATATGTAGGGAGGGTAATTAATTGATAAATTCGATTTGAGTTTTTATTTTATTGTCAAAATTAATATTTCTAGATATAATACGAACTTAGTCGATGAGACATCTATACTTTTCTTTGAGGTAGAATGTTTTTAAGAAAATAACAATATTTAGATGCTTAGCAGTCAAACATCTATTTCTATGTTGACCGCCAATAAAAAAAATATATGATGATGGTCAACAAAATATGGATGCATGCCGATAAATACCTTAGTATTTTGCTTAAAACAATGTATTGATTTTCCAAAAATGAAATTAGCCAAATCGTCCCATTTTTTTGTTATTATTATTTATAAAAAGAAAAAAAAAATCAGATTTGCATCTCCATTATAAAAACTAAAAATATAAAATATTTGACCCTTATTGCTAAGGACAAAAAGGAGCTGGTGACGAATTTATGACGAATTTCCGAGCTCAACTCTGGTGACGAATTTCCGGTCGGTGGAGCTGGCGGCCACCGACAGAGACCACGGCGAGAAGTTGACAATCGTGGTAAAGTTGGGGCCGTTGTTTCCGACGGCTAAGGAGGAGAGAATTCCGCGGTTGATGGCGTGGAAAGATCCGTTGGCTAAGTAGTCGTTGAAGTAATAATCTCCGACCAGATTTCCGCCGAGAGAGCGCGGCGATGCGCGCGGAAGGGACCCCTCGATCCCCTGGCCGTCCCCAGGCCGAGCCCCACCATGCTGGCTCCCCTCACCAACCCTCCGGCCACCGTCGACGCCGTGTGCGTCCCGTGCCCGTCGGAATCTCCCGGACCTTTGATATCACCTTCCGGAAGTTGGCCGTCGCTGCGGTATGATCGAGCGCCGATGATTTTGCTGCAAAACAACACACACAATGTCGTGTACTTAATGTTCTGAACTGATGTATTTTATTGTCAAATATTTCAGTCAATCAAAGTATGATGTGTCCAGTCACGAGAGTAGAATCCGTGATTTTAAGAAAATATATTAATATAATAAAATTTTTAAAATAAAGTGATATTTCAGTACAATAAAATCCAACTTACAATATGAGATACGTCAGTTATCACTAATTTATAACTGGTGGGTCAATTTAAGATAGTTTTAGACTTTTTTAAAATCAATTTTTTAACTTATCAAACATGATTAATGGACGGAAAAATGATTTTGAAAATGAAAAATATAAAAATTACTCCCAAACGCACCCTAAATTGTATAAATAAAAAAAGAAAATATTTAAATCTTAAACGATGATGTTAAAGATGATTAAACCACCACTAAATTCGGTAAAAAAAAGACAACAAGATCTCTTGTTCTATATACTATATTAATGATGAATAAATTATCACTCAACCTAAAAATTTAATCGAATGAATTTGATAAATTTAATTCATATATGAATATCTCAACCTAACCACCTTGAATGTTTGACAACTAGAAGAAAATATAAAAACATAACTTTTTAAAAAAATTAATGTCAAATTTTTAGTTGTAATAGCATAGAAATATGTGCTAACGAGTCATGAACTAGATACTTTCTTAAAGTAAATTATTGTTTTTAAATAAAAAAATGTACGAAATCGCATAATTCAAACCAAACTTTCAAACGCAATGTAAAAAACCATACCTATCACAACTAAAGGACACTGTGGGTATATGAAAAAATGGGAAATTGACTCAACTGACCTGAAAAAGTTTCTATTTTGTTCAAATGACCTAAATTATAAAAATTGACTCAACTAACACAATTTTAACTTTGTTGACATTTCAGAGAGTCTGTAATTACGAATATACCCCCAAATGAATTGAACTACAACAAATCTAGCATAGAATCACCTAGGTTGGTGTAATTAAAACCATGGGCGAGTTCCACTTGATTTATGGTCATGAATTTATTAAAGTACCACCAACTTAATAATTCCCCACCAAATTTTTGTACTATCATTTATTATATACCCACATATTCTCTACCGAGTGTAGAGAATAAAAGTATGTTTCCATCCGTATTGTCCAGAAGCACATCTTTCACGTGGTTTTGAAGAACTTCCATACCTTTTCCAACATTTTTCAGATCTTGAATCCATTAAAGGAAGTCAATTTTTCATCTCTGACACCTTGAACGAGGTTAGTTTTTTATTGGTTCATAATATTGTTTTCGATTCGTCTAGAATATGATGTATTTAGTTGGA